ACATAAATTAACTAACTATTTACAATTAGAAAGAGTTTATATTTCTATAATTAGGAAACAAGTTAATCCCTCTTTAGATTTACTTTTACAGGTTTTATTCAAAACCTGAAGACTTTTTTGTAACCTAATCTTGGCCACCTTTTTTACTACTTCTTCACTCATTATGTTATTTCCCCAGCGGGTCTGAGTATACCAATACCATGTTTCATATAGAATATTAATATGTAACCATATTGCGGCCTTTCTTCTATCATTATTTGGTATATTCTGTGTCGTAAATATTTTCTCCAGACATTGTGGGATTGCAACTAAAAATGAATTCTTTAAGTGTAAGTAGCCTATTTCCCAAATTGTACAACTAATATTATATCTCAGAGCAAAATGTTCAAACATTTGCCTATTTTCCAGACAACCTGGGCAACTCCTATCTATATCTTTATCTATATATCTAAGATGATACCCTAGTGGAAGGGCTTTGTTTTGCAGTCTTCAAAAGATGTCCTTCTTCTTATTCATCAACCCTTTACTTTCTAACCAACCAAAGGGGTCTGCAGAATTTTCTTGTAGATGTACTGGGGACTGTGATGCTGTAGGCTGAATCGACAGTTGTCTTAAAAATTCTGTTGCTTTTTTAACGATGAATTGATCCCCAGATTGATCAAATATTTTTAATTGTGTAGGTTTCCAGGGCTAGCTGCTAGATGATAACACTTTAATTGTGTAGGTTTCCAGGGCTAGCTGCTAGATGATAACACTGTGTCTCTTAGTCTTTTTCAGGCTGTTAAGTATGGTTGCCAGTCTTCTGGCCACTCTTTAAGCTTAACTAGAGATCTTGTTAATGCTTCTACTATTGATATATTTCTTTTGTCCTGTATTCTTTGTGAGATTAAGGTTCGTTCAACTTTGGCCCAGAAGCTATTTGCTGTAAGTAGCTTTATCCAGACGGAGCAGAGTCTGGCATCAAGAGTATCTTTAAGAACAGGAGCATTTAGTCCTCCTCTATTATAGTCTAGCTGGAAAGTTGAATAATGCAGAAGTAGTTTTGATTTATGCTTAACCCAGTTGTATATCAGTGTGCTGATTTTGTCAAGTTGCTTTCTTTGGGGTAGAAGCAAATATGCCAAGTACCAGATTTTGGAGATGAGAAGAGCTTTAGATAATAAAATTTTTCCTTTGAAGAATAGGTTTTTACCAGAGATCTTCTGTATTTTCTGCTTAATGCTTTCAGTTAAGTTTTCTCATAATTGTTTTTTGGGGGTACCTTTATGATCTATTTCATAACTCAGAATTTTGAGTAAAGTATTGTCATCTGCTATTCTAAAAAGATCTTGATTGAGTAAGCATGTTGTTTTAGCTGTATCAGTAAAAGGTACCAGAATTGATTTCTTTTGATTAATCTTTGCATTTGAGGCTAGTTCATATTTTTGCAGAATTGTTAAGATCCTATTCCTACTGTCAAGTCATCAGCATATACTGTAACTTTAAAGTAGTGGTCCGCCACTTTTATTATATTTAACTCTTCTTGAATTTTAAGGATAAATGGATTCAGAGCTAGAATATATAACAAAGGTGAGAGCGGGTCCCCCTGTCTAACTCCCCTTTCTACTCGAATTGGTTCTGATATGAGATTGAAATTTGCAATATGTGTGGTTTGAAGGTGAAATAAGCTCTTGACAATATTAATGAACTTGGTGTCAAAATTCATTCATTCTAATACTTGAAGAATAAAATCGTGACTTATCTAATTAAAGGCCTTTTGCTAATCAAGCAGCAGCAACCAGTGTGATGCTAACTAGTTTTTTTGGTTTCTTATAATAGTAATAATGTCTAATGCTGCGTCTGTGATTAATCTTCCCTTTATATATGCCTATTGTAATGGACCAATAATTGATTTGCAGATGATATTAATTCTATTGGCCAGGATCTTCATAAATATTTTAACATCACAGTTGTTAAGTAAAATTGGGCGCCAGTTGTCTATGTTTTCTAGATCGTCTGATTTTTTCAGAATTAGAGTGATGATGCTTTTGGTCCATGATCTAGGTATCAAACTATTTTCTAGCTGATAATTGAATAAACCTGTAAATATTGGGACTATTTCCTTTTTGATTCCCTTATAGAACTTATATGTAAGGCCATCTGAACCTGAAAACTTGTTATTTGGAAGCTGGTTTAAAACCTCATTAACTTTCTCTTTAGAAATTAAGCCTACTAGTATTCTGTTTTGACTCTCCGAGACTTGTGCTAAGCCTTGAGTGAAGAGATTTGCTGCAGCTATACAGTTGTTTTCCACCTTGTAGATATCTTGATAGATATTCTTCATATACTGTAACTTGTTAGCCAGATTGTTTGTTTGACTTTGTTCAAAGATCTGAATTTTGTCACTTACTAAAGTATTACTCCTGGCCTTGTAACGTGAGTAAAAGAATTTTGTGAATTTTTCTCCTTCTTCAATCCATTTCACATTTAATCTAGTCTGCCATTTGTCAGAGAGGGTTTGAAGTTTCTCTTGTAGCTGCATGTTAAAATGTTCTCTTAGAGCTAGGAGATGCTCTGAGTTTTCTATACTAGATACCTCATTGTTAATTTTGGTTAATCTTTTTTGCAGCTTCTGAATCCTTTTTTCTAATGAAGGTTGCGGTCTAAAGGCTCTAATTATGGATTGTATCTTACATTTATGCAGATCCCACCTTGAGAAGTTTGTAATACTTTGTACCTCTTCAATTACTTCTGCTCTGAGTAGTTGATTTTGCCAGCTGTTTTTATCAAATCTTTATTGTTTTGCCTTAGATTTTCCTGTATTCAACTGCAGTTCACATTCTACTAGCAAGTGATTGGAGTTACTAAACTGGGTTGTGGTCTTCTTGCAAAGGTGCCCATAGTTTGTATCAATGAAAATATAATCCAATCTTGTAGCCATTACATGGTCTCCTTGTGTATTCTAATGATAAGTTATAAAAGGCTTTGTGCAGGCTGTAACTGCTATGGTATCAATATACTCTGATATTAAATTTGAAAGTAATTCTCTTGTAGAATCACTTGTTGGTGAAGACTGACTTATTCTATTTTCCTGTGAGTTAAGGTTTGTACTGAAGTCCCCCGCAAGGATAGTTATGCATCCTTCATCTATCTTCGGAGACCAACTATTAAAGAAGTTAACTCTTTCTGCTACACTTGGAGGTGCATATACGTTTATAAGATGGAACTTTTGGTGTCTGTAGATAATGCTTGCTTTGGTTATACAGCCATTATATAATTTATTTGTGTTGGATAAAGTAATACTCAGCTAAGATTGTAGTTTTAGAGAACTAGTATGAACTATATCCCCATTGTGCTGTAAAAAGTTTCTTGTACTAATATTTTTTAAATTAGTTTCTTGAAGCATAATTAAATCTAAGTGATATGATTTCAATAATGTAAGTGTTCTATATGCTTTTTCTAAATTGTTTAATCTTTTAACATTTAAAGTTGCGATTTTTAGTTTGTTAACTATAAGATAAATTAGAGTTGGTGTGTATATGCTAAAAGCACTACTTAAGGTCTGTTTGCCTTAGAGCCAGGGTATAGTCCCAACCTAGGTTTGTTTGTAGCTGTAATCAACTTTCTGGAATAGTTTTTGGTTTTTCTTTTGGAGGTAACCAATATAAACCCTTCTGTATCAGTATTGTTGACTTCACTTTTTGTGCCATCATTTTTGGCATAAAAGGATACTAGTGGATCTTTCATTATATTCCCCTGACTAATTTTATTATCAGTCTTAATGTGGGATGATTCTGTTTCTGGTTTGGCTTCTATATTGGATGAGGTTTGGGTTTCTGCTACTGCAGTCATCTGTGTTTCTACATCATTTTCTTTAGGTGGGTCAGAAGTTTCTGCTAACATCTCTGTTTGAGTTTCTGCTTTAACCTCTTTATCTAACACCATACTGTTTGTGTCTAAATCTTTTGCTATTGTATCAATAACCATGACATTTTCTGATTCTTCATTATATAGATTTTCAGTACTCAATGTCATTTGAGAATGTCTTTGATTTCGTGCTTGTTTCAATTCTTGTGCTCTTTGCAATTTCCTTTCTTTCTGTATTTTCCTTAACACAACTGATGTTTGGTATTCTTGATCTTGATATGGCCTGTTTTGTCACAGAAGTAGCACACTTTTGGGGCTTCTTTCCAATCAGTTGTAACTTTTTGATCCCAAATATGTGTAAATCTGGGTATTCTCGTTGTCAGATCTGGATCATCTGTTGTTTCAAAAATTACCATCCATTGGTCTATAAGCACTGATGTCCCTTTATACACCAATGGTTTAATGGAGGAAATATTGCCAATATCTTTAAAGGCTTCTTCGATTTGCTCTGAAATAAAATCCTTTTTGCCCATAAGTATATTTTGAAGCTGCACTGATAAAAAGCTTTATCTAATATTTACTGGAATATAGTGTTCCAAATCGTTAGTTGGAAAACTGAATAGTTGACAACTTTCCAACTAACTGGTTAGAAAATTTTTTAATCAACTAACCAATTTATAATCAACTAGTTCAACTACAGTTAACTATCAGTTGTCAACTAGTTGTCAACTAACTAGTTGCCTATGTTAATTAACTACATAACTATTCTATATACTAGTAGCGACCAACTCAATCTTATTGGTATCTCTGTTCTACACAATATTGTGTCATCATGCGAAACCAGAAATGGGAAAGTATCTAGATATTAAGTGGGTTAAAATTTTAAGTTAATCTAATTCTAATATTTAATCAAACATATTAAATTTAAATCATAAATGCAGTCTTGCACTCTGTCTTAGGACTAAGCCAGTCTAGTACGAACCAAAAAGGCTATCAGTCCTAATTCAGTATAAAATTATTGTAGCAACCTAATTTTTTGTAAGAAAAAAAAAATATATAGCTACTAGCAGTTACACAGATTAATTATGAGTATATTGTTATTTTTTCTTATAACTCTTTTTTTTTTTTTTTTTGGTAGTCGCTTGTTACTTTACTTATGTTGCTGGTGCCGTTGCTGCCAGATGGGATTTAATGGCTTCATCGTTGGTGGCGAGTATCTTAGTTGCTAATATCATTGTAATTAGTACTTCATTGGATTATGGACTTGTTTATTGGATTAAGGTCTTGATAGTAGTTTCAGTATAGTCGTGGTGTCACTTCTGTTGCGTGCTTTGGCTGCTGTGAGCACTTAGTTTGTAGTTTTTCTAACTAATCATTTTTTTAGGGTTTTTAGGTTCTTGGCTGTCATTTTACCTACATCGTTGGTGTATTGTTACTGAAGTTGTATTATATTGAATTCGTGAATATCTTCATTATTGGTATTGCTGTAATTGGTAGTACTTTGTTGGATTAAGGTCTTGATATAGTTCTGCTGGTTTTGGTATTGTTGTAGTGTTACTTTGTTGCTGGCTTAGTGAAGTCGTGTCATTAGAGTTCTGAAATACCTTCATCATTGGTGTCGTTATAATTGGTGGTGCTTTGTTGAACTAAGGTTTTGTATGGTTCTACTGATTTCGATATTGTTATTTCTGTTTGATCTTCAATAGTTTCTAGTACTCTATTTGCCGATTTCACCAAATATAATGACGCTATTTGAGCGAAAGCCAAGAAATGGTAAACTTCTTAATTTTTTAAAAGCTGCTTAAGTGATCTCTGTGAATACTGTATTGATTATAAACCTTTTCAAGGTAGGTAAAAAAAAAAGGTCTGTTGTAAAAAGTTTGTTGATTAAAATGAAAATTTCATTAAATGTCTTTTACTAATAAAAAATATTTATTATATAATAAACTTTATTAATTTACTTGTAATAATAAGCACACTTATTCTCGAACACTTTTTGACTTATTGATTGAGGTACTTGAGAGTAACCATAGACTATTTCAATTCGATTAATAAATAATATTGACTTGAAATCAGTACAAAACAATAAACTAATAAAAAGCGCATAATTGTTTTCAAGTACTTCAATTGGCAAATTATTTTATACTTATTGGTTAAATTTATAACCTGAATAAATTACTTGGTGAGAAATGGCAGATAATTTATAATCTTACCGAGATAAGGAGTAGCAAAATTCTTTATAATATATTTTAGACTATACTTACAAACTAATTTAATATAAATATAAAAAATGACTTATTTTAATTATACCTACTATTATGATCATCACAATAGCGGGAATAAGAAATAAATCCTCGGTTGTATTAGAGCCCTTCTATAGCTTATTCCTACAATAGAAAATAAACTTTGTTGCACTCCATTCCTGGTACTATTTTCTATACTTTGAATTTTATATACGTGTATGATTATACTGGTCCTGCGCAGCATTACATGCTGCACAACTATCTTATATAATAACCAACCAACCAACTAACTAACTAACCAACTTAACCAACTTAACCAACTAACCAACTAACTGGTTAAATTAGTCACGTGATATACATAACTGGTTAGTTGCCAACTATAGTTGGCAACTAACCAGTTGGTAAAATTTTAACAGTTTAAAATACTATCCGAAATGCTCAGCCTAATAAGGCTTTATGTTATTATGATATTTTACTAGTCTGTACTGATTATCAATTTTTATATCAAGTATTATAAGTTAAAAATAAATTATTAGGTGTGGCGGCTTAGTGAAGTTGTCAAGTCGTCACCCTCTCCAAGTAGCAGGTCTAGGGTTCAAATCCCACGGACAACGAAAGTTTGAAAAATAGACTTGCATTACGGTAACAGATCTTCATTAAGTTGGGGCTTAAATTAACCTGTAACTTTGGGTCACACCAATGCTCTGTATTGGAAAGTTGTCACTGTCGGGTGTCTGCGTACTGCCGAGCGGATATAGGATGTCCCG